TGGAGCTAGGATCTTAGAACTTTGAGCTCATCATTTTGTTTCCCCAATTCCTCCCATTTACATGCCGTTATTCAGCCCATTATACTCATATCTTCACTAAAATGTTCTATGGCAGCAACTATTTGGCCATTCTAACCCTTGCCTTCTATGGAAACCTATATATAGGTATATACAGAAGATGATTTGGGAAAATGTTTTGCTGCTGCGTGTCATGGACTGACAGTGTTCACTGACGCTAGGGTCATTAATAATTTCAACTATAATCGAGTCCAAGATCCAATTCCAGATCATCTGTAACCATTCCATTTATGATCTGAATTCTAACCGAGGGTGTCACTACAACAATGCTAAACACAGTAGAACAATGGCACCTCACAAAGACTTATGACTGGGGACTTCAGCATACTGGGTCTCTGCTACCATCCCACTTTCTTGTGCCCCTACACACAAACACACATTTTACTCCCTGCTGCACATATTGGGTAAAGTAGTTGTACTTCCTGGTTTCTCAAGAAAACTAGACTTCAATCACCTTGGAGGCCACAGTTTTCTGTCCCACTTGCCTCACCAGCCTTCTGCTTCCTCTCATCAGATTTTCATTTATTCCTGCCCTCCTGGAGTATGTCCTTCTTCAAGCCCCTGGCCCCCTCGCTCAGATACAGGAGCTAGATGGAGAATTGTGCTATTGTTTAAATAACTGCAGGCTTGTTTCCTGGATAGAAATCAACCCAAAGAAGAGCATTTGTTGTCCACTCCAGGTTAATTTTTTGTTTGTTTGTTTGTTTGTAGAAAACAAGCTTAGAAAACTAGCACTTGAATATTTGCTTTTCCTACAAAGAGAAATTTGAAGTGACACTGCTGGTGTCTGTGAAGTTAGCTCTGGGTAGTAAAAATTGAAAGCCCTTGCATTCACCATGGGGCTGAGGAGAAATGGCAGTCAAAACTGGCTGGAAGGACACTTATGATTCCATAAGATACATCACTTCCACCAAAGGGAAGTAACATTTCCATTGTACAGAACAGCATAATTTACAATAGCCAAGATATGGAAACAACCCAAGTGTCAATCAACAGATAAAAGGATAAAGAAGATGTGGCATGTATATACAATCTTGCCATTTCCTACACCATGGATAGACTTGAGGGTCTTTTGCTAAGTGAAATAAGATAAATAAAGACAAATAACATGTGATTTCACTATATGTAAAATGTTCTCTAAAAATATTTTTAAACAAATGAACAAACCAACCATACAAAAACAAACCCATAGATACAGAGAACAGAGTAACGATTACCAGAGGGGAAGTGGGGAGAAAGGAGGGGAAAGTGAGTAAAGTTATTTGTTGTGAATAATTTTCTTTTGTTGCTAGCAGGACACAGAGAGTTAGGCAAGAACCAAGGCAGCGGCTGTTCTTCACTGAAGGGTCTCTCCCAAGCGGAGTAGTTCTAGCCCTCAGGCTGACTCAAGACCCACTGCCCACCACAAACCAAGCTGAGTCTGGAGGGCAACTAGTGCTGGGGGAATGACAACCTAGTCGTGTTCCTGCAAGCACAGGGAGCGCCTGGCCTGCACCATTGAGGAAGGCCAAATTAATCTCCTTCTGAAACTTCTTCACAGTCTGAAGAGAACCAGGCGATAATGGTCCTTCACCTGAGGACAAACCTTCTGATGACCTTGGAGGACAGGTCCTGCAGAAGCTGGTTTTGAGGGACTCGCCAAAGGAAAGGAGCAACAGTCCCCTAAGCAGTGATCTTGAGTTGAGATGTCTGCAAGTTACTCTCAAAAGGTAGAGTAACTCATGTATATGGAGAGAGTGAGAAAGCAAATGCGGGAAGATGTTAACTGGTGCGTTTAGGTGAAGAATATATGCTGTTACTAATTTTTGTATGTTTCTGTTTTGTTTTTGTTTTTTAAGGAGTAATTGTCACTCACGTCCTAAGTTCTCTTTAGATGCGCACTCTGAGAGGGAGACGATAGGTTTCCGGGAGAAGAGAGGAGAGGAGAGGAGAGGAAGCCAGTGGCTGGCCAGTATGCTCATCACATCTCAAATCTCCCAGCCTGGGAGGGGCCTTGGACCCTGGAGCCTAAACTCATCAGTTTAAGAATTCAGTGCAGAGAATCTTCTGCATCTGAACATCACACTTCTAGAGATGAAGTGAAGCTAGCAGGGTGCAGAGATCCGGCAAAATTAATACTTCCCTGACTGGGAATCAAACCCTAGGCGTGGTGGTGAAAGTGCCCAATCCTAGCCACTAGACCACCAGAGGGAACTATATTATCCCTTATTCAGGGTCTCCAGGAGAAAACTGAGAAAGTCAACATTAAATCTGAGGCATGTGGAGAGCAGGAGAGAAGGGATTCCCATCGGCCCAC